TACAGGTCTTCAACAATGTAAATAAACAAGAGATTAGATTCTGTCTGTCTAGAGAATTAAGGTTAAACGCCAAAGCCTCGAGGGCTATCTGCCTAAGGGAAGGGATACCTTCATGGAGGACTTTCTACTCTAGAGAATTAAAGAGAAAGGTAAAAGTTTACAATTGGGTGCCCTTTGTTATTTGGTGATTCTTTTTTGACACCAAGATCCGCGCCAGGAAGACACAATTTCAAGATGGCCGCTACACAAAACCAAAATAAGAAGTCAAAGAATTGCATAAACTCTGTGTCCATGTACACATCGATCTGTTTTCACTTAAAAAAAAAAAACATTCCAGAATTGCACAAACTAGGCATTGCGCGCTGCTTTAAATTTGACCATGTACACATCAATCTACTTTTACTTTTAAAAAAATCAGGAGGCTAAAGTAAAGTTAAACTATCATGGTAACCAGAAACGAGATTTCATTGCCAAAATTTTTCAAAAAATTGTCGCTAATCTAAGGGACACCCAACTCTACACTAGAGCCAAGAGAAAATATTAGCACAAAGCAACTTAAACAACTTACATTGAAAGAAATGTTTAGTAAGGTAAACAAATAAATATTAATCTTTTTTTTTGTAAATATTGATACCCTTTAGATCATAAATACTTTATTATTTCAAAATCAGGATTTAATATTTTTACTAACTACATGAAACACATCCATGTCTCTAATTATTTATTTATGTTGCATTTATAAGTTAACAAAAGCATTCACTAAAAGTTATAGAAACAGACTGATATTTTCATATTAATTATTTTAACAGCTATTAAATATTACATTAAATGGTTAAAATTTAAGATACCCCTTGGTGAATCGTCTCTTTTTTGAGGCCAAGATCAGCACTAGGAAGATCCTTCCGCTCGCTACATAAAACCAAAAGAAGAAGTCAAAAACATGTACAGTCAGTGCCCATGTACACATTGACCTCTTTTAACTTTAAAAACAACAACAACAACAACAAAAAAAAAAAAAACAGAGAATTGTGCAAATTAAGCATTGTGCACTGCCTTAATGTTGTTCATGTACACATCAATCTATTTTCACTTAAACAAAATCAGAAAGTTAAAACTATCATGTTAAGCAGAAAAATTTCGCCCCTCTCTTAATACACGGTAACAAACAAATAACCAAAAATACACAAACAGAGAGTAATAAATATACAAAAATACATATTTCCTAACATAAAAACATTAAACAAAAAAATCTTTTAACAAAAATTAACACACAGCAATGAATAAATAAATGAAATGTCAATTTTTTAACATACCTTTTTCTGATGTGCACATGTTCACGCTTTTCACCACTCTCCATGTAAGCAATTGAATTAAAATTTAGTCGCTTCAGCTCATATGCTCTTAATGGTGGATAAATATGTTAATAGCATCCAAGAAAGCCATAAATAGATTTTTTTTTCTCCTGGTCCTTCTTTCGCCACACATATTCGGTTAAATAATAGCCACCCTTCATTTTCCTCTTGATTAAACCGCGTTTAACTGCACTCCACATTCCTTCTATTTTATTAATGTTGGCACTTGTATCAGGATCCTTAAATCGCAGACTATGATCTACTGTTAAGTGTCCAAAGCCTTCGTCTGAAAGGCAATATACTCATTTATAACACGAAACAAACTTTGAGACGATCTTTGAGGTACCAATTTCAGAACACATTACACACGCACAACCAAACACAGGAACTGAAAAGAATGCTAAGAATAAAAAAAACACACAGTTCATACAAAAGGGTTACTATTGCAAAAAATATCCAAAATCGCTATTTATTACAACACAATATCACCCAGTTTTTCCCAAGGCTAGTTTCACCAACATTATCAACATTATGGTTTAGTAAGAAAAACGGTAAAAGTATATTTTAGAGTACCCCTTGGCGAAACTTAGCGATTTTTGGCGGTACATGAATAACAAATTTGTGCAAGTCTTTGACTTGTTATTTTGGCTTGTGTAGCAGAAAAATCACCACTACATAAAGCCAAAATAACAAGACAAAGAATTGTACAAACTCGGTATCCATGTACACATCAAACTATTTTCACTTAAAAAAAATCCCAGAATTGCACAAAAATGGCATTGTGCACTTCCTTGACTTTATCCATGTACACATCTACCTATTTTCACTTCAAAATACATCACAGATTTGTACAAACTAGGCTTTGCGCACTCTCTTGGGTTTGTTCATGTACACATCAATATATTTTCACTTAAAAAGTCAAAGGAGCACCCACTTCTATAGAGGCAAACAAAAAATACATAATCTCACTAAACTGCATTTTAAACCAAACAATAAAATAATATAAAAAAGGATTATGCATTAACATTATGCATTTAAGTATTACATAAAGCAAATATCCACTTACCTCTGTGGCACACAAAATTCCTTAACAGCATTCAAAAACTTCCTGAAATTATTTGAACTAGAATCCATATATCAGTGCAGCCACATAAATTCACAAAAATAAGAGTAAAAAAGATCCTGTATATTTCGGACTGTCCCGTAAATGGCTACTAAGTAAGTTACTGTTAAGTGTCCAAAGCCTTCATTTGAAAGTTGGGTAGAGTAGAATTTAAGGTACCCCTTGTATTACGGCTTGTTTGATTTATCGTGAAGTTGTCGTTTCATTTATGGCAGACTGAGTTGTTCAATGTTATGGAAACCCTATTGTGACGTAATCGAGTGCATGATTCTGCGAAATTTTGAATCATAGGATGTGTTGTAAGCGTTTTTGTGGTGTGTGTTGGTTTGATTCTTTAGACAGCAGAATGGCCGAGTGTAGTAAGATTAATTTGAAGTTTCTGTACGATTTTAAGCAAAAGGGGAAAAGAACTTTAATTGACTTATGTGTAAATGAAGGTTTACTTAGTAGCCATTATAAGTGTCCTGTATGTAGGAAGGATATGAGTCTAGTCGAACGTAAAAACCGTTTAGATGGATTTGAATGGGTTTATAGGAAGAGAGGTTCAGATGGTCACTATGTGAAGCGTTCGATCAGAAAGAGTACCTGGTTTGAAAAAAGTCATTTGAGTATGAGTGATATTTTGATTTTTACGTGGCTCTGGGTGTACGAAGCAAACTCAAAAATCATGGTAAGTGAATATTTGCTTTTGGTAGTGCTTAAATGTATAACATGTTTTTCCTTTTTTATGTTATTTTATTGTTTGGTTTAAAAATGTATTTCATTGAGATTATGTATTTTTTGTTTGCCTATATTGTAGAATTTGGTGCTCCTTTGACTTTTTAAGAGAAAATATATCGATGTGTATGGACAAAGTAAAGGGAGTGCGCAATGCACGTTTGTGCAATTCTGGGATTTTTTTTAAAGTGAAAATAGGTTGACGTGTACATGGATAAAGATAAAAGAGTGCGCAATGCCATTTTTGTGCAATTCGGGAATATTTTTTTAAGTGAAAATAGGTCGACGTGTACATGGATAAAGTGAAAGGAGTGCGCAATGCCATTTTTGTGCAATTCGGGGATTTTTTTTACGTGAATATAAGTCGATGTGTACATGGATACCGAGTTTGTGCAATTTTTTGTCTTGTTATTTTGGCTATTTTTGGCACAAAAATTGCTGCTTCGCAAGCCAAAATAATGAGTCAAAGAATTGCACAAAATCAGTATCCATGTACCGCCAAGTTTCGCCATGGGGTACCCTAAACTACACGTTTACCTGAAAGTCAATTGTACGTCTTTCAGCAGTCAGAAATTATAGTCGTATCTGGAATAATATACTCATGTATAACACAAAGCAAACTTTCAGGCACCAATTTCATAAAACATTACTCACGCGCAACCAAACACAGGAATTGAAAAGAATGCTAAGTATAAAAAAAGGGCTAAAGTGCAGAATCACCCACTTATTTGTTTGGCGCTTAATACAACAGTAAGAAGAATTGGATTTTTGTCAGTTTTCTTTGACTTTTTAAGTAAAAATAGGTAGATGTATACATGGATACCGAGTATGTGCATTTCTTAAAAACGCGCCAAGCAGTGGGCGATTCTGCATTTTCCCGAAAAAATAAAAAAAAAGTCCAACCGAAAGGGTTACTACTATTACAAAGAATAGCTAAAAGTTGTAATAAATAGAAAAATCTCTATTTATTACAACACATTTGGCGATATTTGCCTAGTTTTTCCCAAGGCTAGTTTCGTCAATATTAGAGTTTATTAAGAAAAATTATTTCACGCAGCGGGTTTCTGATTTAACGAGCAAGTAATACCACTTAGCGATTCATTTACACACAAACTAAGGGGTTCTGTACAGAATACAACCCATTAAATATATAAAGTTTTTCAGGGTGAAGTGCAGAATCGCCCAATTATGTTTGCCGCTTTTTACAAGAGTAGAATTGGATTTTTGTCAATTTCGTTTGACTTTTTAAGTGAAAATACATCGATGTTTACATGAACAAAGCCAAGTCAGTGCGCAATGACCGATTTATGCAATTCTCTGGTGTTTTTTAAAGTGAAAATAGATCGATGGGTACATGGATACCGAGTTGTGCAATTCTTAAAAACGCACCAAGCAGTGGGTGATTCTGCGCTTTCCCCTGGAATAGCATTAAAATACATAATTTCTCGCCAGAGCTGTTAGTCGATTAGTAATTTTCGAAACATGTTCAGTGAGAATATATTCATGCAAACAACGGAAAATAAGATTAATTTTCTTCTTGTGTTTATGTATTATCTCTCTCACCAAGTTATTTTCACCAAGTTTGGGAAAAAAATAAGACGAGAGGGAGACCCAATATTAGAAAACATGTTTTTGTGATCGCGATATAAATAAAAAGCGATGTTTTAATATCTTTTAATTTCTACTACCTCGAACATAAAATTTCTAGTTTCAAGTTTAACCAGCAATACGCGCTTTGTTTTTTTAAGGTCTTTCTGCCCGCAGAGATACAAATCAATTCAAGTTTGCAAAGAAGGAATACGAGCGCCCAATAGTTATGTTCCCAGGACTAAAAGACAAACTGTAATAATTTGTTACTCTATAACATTAGTGACATTTATTTCAAAGTAACCCTTATTTTTTATTAAGCATGTAAGTAAAAAATATATTTTTTCGTCTTTGTGGCCACAGGCTTTTGTTTATATTTGGTATTTATATTTTACAAAACACGGCATTAAACTCAGGGAGGTGCCTTGATTAAACCTAGTCTGTATAAAGAAATATCAACGAAACCCTCCATTAATTATCACAACTACAGAAATACAAACGCCAAATATTGACGCCAAATAACTTGGTGAGAGAGATAATACATATTCGTACAATCGAGAAAAATCTCACAACTAACTCTTGCTTCTTTCAAACTTTTCCGCAGCGAAGAACGATTTTCTTTGTCTCTGTGTTTTTTTAGTTTCACACTATGTCGAAGAATGTAGATAAAAAATCTTATATATGTGAGAAGTCATTTACCTTAATGTGTAATTTAAAGACACATCTATTTACGCACAAAGATGAGAAACCACGTGTATGCGAAAGCAGTGGCAAGTCCTTCAGACAAGAAGATAGTTTAAAGAAGCATATACTTATTCAAACTGGTGAAAAACCATTTGTGTGTAATATGTGTAATAAATCATTTACACTGAACCAGAACTTAAAACGGCATTTTCTCACGCACACAGGCGAGAAGCGTTATGCATGTGCAATGTGCAGCAAGTCTTTTGCTGTGAAGTGTAATTTAAACAGGCATATGCGTACACACCGAAACGAAAAACCTTATGTATGTCAAATATGTAATTTATCCTACTCACAAAAATTTAATTTGGAGCGACATATGAATGTGCATAACGGCCAGAAAAGACATGAATGTGACACCTGCAGCAAAACGTTTGCAACAAAGGATTACTTGCGAAATCACTACCGTATACATTCAGGAGAGAGACCGCATGTATGTGATGTATGCTGCAAATCGTTTATACACAGATCTGATTTAAGCAGGCACATTAACATTCACTCGGGAGAGAGATCATACATGTGTGAAATATGTGGCAAATCATTTTTAATGAAGAGTAGCTTGTTGTGTCACACTCGTATACATTCAGGTGATAAACCTCATGTGTGTGATAAATGTAATAAAGCATTTGTATCAAAGACAGATTTGAATGTGCACATACGTAGACACACCGGTGAGAAGCCGTATAAATGCATTATCTGTAGTAAATGTTTTTCATGTAAAGATTATTTGAATTTGCACATGCGGACCCACAGTGGAGAGAAACCATATGTTTGTGACATGTGTGGCAAGGCTTTTGGATGGAAATGTAGTTTAAATGCACATATTCGTCTACACAGCAGTGAAAAAAAATTTGTATGCGATATAGGTAGGAAAGCATTTGCCCAAAAAGATCATTGAATGCTCATTGTCTTACACACTCAGAAGTGAAACCACATATTTAAATGTATGTTAATTTTCATATTTTCATAAAAGTTAATCTTTAATTGCAAATTAGAACTGATTAGAACTGATAAAAATTATTGATGATTGTGAATTAGAACTGATTAAATTTATGAACTGCAATTAAAAAAGTTGAATAAAAAGAATCAGTAAGTTGTTCTTTCTTAGAGAATAATAATTTTAAGACTACTCTGAAGCAATATGAGATAATTATGCTTCTCACTCTGTTTGGCAGAATAAACGAGTCCAAACGAGACTTGACACTACGACTGTAACTGATATGCCATGTCAAACAAAGGTAATGTGTGAGGCAGTATGGAGTTAAAGAAACACCAGGAGAGTCCGAGAGTTCAAATTTGTGACACAATAGATATGTTACTGATATGTATGATACAAATGCAGTAGGACGACAACAGTATATATAGCATACTTTGGACTTCTTTCATTATTTTGAACAATTCTTATACATCAGAAGCAGTATTGCTATTATTGTCATTAGGTCTAAAATTTTTTGCATTATTCGAATAATTTCTTTTAGACTGATTATTATTAATATTTGCTGATAGATGAGCAACCTGAGCAGCAGCAGGCGGTTTCATAATAGTTGGGGGAGTAGCATTGGCAGTAAGAGGAGTACGCACTGCTGGTACTTCCATAACTGTCTCTGGTGCAGTCAACTTTAACGCTTGTGTGTAACTGAGCCCTGGTTTAGTAATAGAACTCTTATTAGTCTTTTTAAGTGATGGGAACTTAGGGCAACCATTATAAGATGCCACGTGTGGCCGTTGGCACATTTTGGATTTTCTATTTGCCCCTGGTGATCACAATTGCCAGTACAGTGGCAACCTGCACACTTGACGCAACGTGGTGCCACGTGGCAGTTATCAGAAGAATGATGCCATTTCTGGCAATTGTGACACTGGCAACATATTTTTCAATTTTTATTGCAAAGTACATGAGATAATTCAACTTATATATATCATCAATATTTTTGCCTGGTATAATTTGTGCCTGAAAAAGTGGCATAGGTTTTTTTTTTTGTCTTGTATCTGGTTAGTTGTACAACTTTATGCACATTAAAATTATATTTTCTCAGAGATTCTTTAATTATTTCAATATCTGCATCCATACGTAGATCCCTAATTAGTACCTTAATAGGCTTTTTATGAACAGGATTAACTACATAGTGTTCTATTTCTTTATCAATAAAGTATTGGCTTAGAATTCTGTGATCATTTTCAGTAGCAGGTTCTACTTTTAAAAACTCGTTGCTCACATGGCCACAAAAATGACAATCAGGTAACATAACATTTAAAGCTTTCAAAAATCATAATATTTAATATTCTCCGGGGGCCGAACTATAATCAGTGGGGCAAGAGGGTTAACTGCTACTGCTGCATATTCCCAGTCTGAGGATTAACATTATCATCAATAGTATTAGCAGTATCCATATTATTCACATTATTAGTACAGACAAAAGTCGTTAATCTGGACTCGTCGGGACTTCGGCGATTCTGGATTATAGATCATCAGTTTAAATCTGGTAAGATGGCATGCAGAAATTATAAAATTAAAAATATGAAACCGTAATTTATGAAATAAAGAACAATTATGATCTAAAGAGTATCAAAATTTACAAAAAAAAAAGCTTCATATTTTTTTGTTTACTTTATTAAACATTTCTTTCAGTGTAAGTTGTTTAAGTTGCTTCGTTTTTTATGTGATAATACATTTTCTTTAATTCTATAAACAGACATGATTTCTTGTTCATTTTACAAAGTTCCGCTGTTTAAGTCCTATAATTGCTGTGTCGAGAATACCGACTAATTTGTCAATCGAAATTTTTTCATTTTCAATAACCTCTGCGTCACTTTCTTTGCTATCGGAAGCGAATTAGAATGACGAGGAATTTGATTTAAATCATATCAAAGACGGAGTACATCGAGATGAAATACTACATTTAGTAAGGAATTATAAGCCAAATAAAATAAAAACATCTGCCCTGAAGATAAGGATAGTGCTGACAGATCAACTTCCAATTCATTGCTCGCCGCGGCATTAAAGATAAACAAACGTTAAAGTTTAGATAAACAAAGGATATGCCTTTATCCATTTTTTTGCGGCAATTCCACTTTTTGTTTAATGGACTTGCATACAAAATGTTAATGTTTAATAAAATGTTTAATGTACTACAAAGCGAAACATACTTTCGCTTTGTAGATCCTTTTCTTATTAGTAAATATATATCAGAAATTCTATTTGACATAATCAAAAGTTCAAGCTTACTTTTATGAAATTGCTCTAACAATCTGCAAAAAATAATAAGCCGAATGCAATTAGAAGATTAAGGAACAAACAAGCACTAATTTCACCAGAAAATTTAGCACACACACATTTAGCTGTTTTGCACATGGCATCAGCTTTATGCGATATTTTTTTATGCATATGTTTAAGCATTTAATTAGCTGATCAACACTCATGCGATCCTTAAGTGATAATTTATCCCTATCCAATTTGCGCAACATTTTAACTTGATCTTCATCTTCATAATTAATATTTTCCAGAAAAATTAATTAAATCTGGCATATCCGGTAAAATAACACTCGATGCAATTGGATTATTAGCACACACATTTTGTTCACTACCCACACATGAGGTTAAGCTTAACACACTCGTCAGCACGATCTGACCATGTGGTCGGAATTTCGGAAGTAGAGAAAAATCACTATTCGTCGTCGATAAATCCAGGGAATCAGTCAAATTATTCTCCATAATATAATTTATCACCGCCGTAGAGCACGAAAATTTACTCGTTTCACAAATCCACAAAAGGCACTTCGAAAACAATTATGGAACTTCTCTATAATCCTAAATTGAGTTTATTTATTTTTGAAAAAGTACTGAATAATTATGCAAGTCTGTGAAGTCATTCATCACCATGAAATTTCAAGCATAGCTGAATAGGGAATCTTCAAAAGTGTTTGGTGCATTTGTGAAATTGGAGCTTTTACCCATGATTCTGTTAGCACTCTAAGAAGGTATACAATTCAAATACATATTCATTACTTATCTAACACTTCACAATTTTTTAAAAGTGCTAATTTAAAACAAAATTCCAAACTCAAACTGCTTTGAATATCTCAAGATTTAATTGCTTGCCATTTCTTTTAGATGATATGCAATAACAGAGCAGAGAAGGGATGATTACATGTGATGCATTAGGAGTCAAGCAATATATGAGATGATGGAGCTACTTATAACGAACGTTTTGGTTAATAATAGTCATATCAGAAATTCTTAAAACTACTTTTGTTTTTATTTAATGAAAAATTATTCTTCAGAGCATTTTCTTTTTATCAACATTTGTTGCAATTCTTAGTATTTTCTGCCAATACCAATAATTTTGGCACCTACATGTGATTAAACCATCACAAATCTTAGGTTGGGAATTACTGAGTTAAATACTGTAAACAGATGTTGATGTCCTAAAGTATTAGTTGCTGACATGGTGAATTTTAATCTTTTTTCTACTAGCAGAGCTGGAAGAGCGAATGCAACTTATATTTTCAGAATGATTTGGTTTAGCTATACTTTGATTGGCTAATTAATACCTTACTAAAATTATTACTGCTGGCTTATTTAACATTATGCAAGATCATAATTGTTCTTTATTTCATAAATTACGGTTTCATATGTTTAATTTTATAATTTCTGCATGCCATCTTACCAGATTTAAATTGATGATCTATAATCCGGAATCGCCGAAGTCCCGACGTGTCCGGTTTAAAGAATTTTTTATTTTATCTTTATATATGTGTGTGTGTGCACACAGAGGTCTATTCCCATCTTAAATTACTGGTTTTTAATTGTGCAAATATTTTGTGTTTAAAATTGTTACTTTTTAATGTTTTTCAGTATTGTTGTGTGTATTAGGAAAAGTTATGTATGAGCATTACCGTATTTTCTCACATATTTTTCTCGCTAGTGTTTTAGTCTAGGTTTTATAAATTTGAAAATTATTTCGGTATTTACTCAAATTTTTAAATGTATTCATCCACACAGTAATTTTTTACACCTTACTAACAGAGACACCTCACAAAAGTCATGCTGAATCTTTCCTTTTTATTGTTGAACTTTATGCTGGCCTAATGCAAGAACTGACCAATCTCAGTGAAGCAAATATGAACTGACATTCAGTCTTCAAATGCGTACAGTCAGCTGCAAATCCGTGTTATCTATATGGTTTGAGGCCCTAGCAGTTGCAGATGAAACAGTATGAACAGGCAAGATTTAAGCTATAGGGGAATAGAAATGATGATATTGTAGTAGCCCAATTATTGCATGAGAAATAATTATTTTTTATTTCATATATTTGTTCATGTATTTAATTATTTTATAAAATTAACTTTAATATTTTGTTAATATTCATATTTATATTTCTTTTATGCTGAATGGCAACAAGTAGTTCATATTTATATTTAAATTTCTTTATGCTGAATGGCAACTAGTTCTAATTTATGATTGCTTGGTTTTGATTTCAAAACTTTGCTTGTAGCGTCGCATTTCGCTAGCTGGAAAATAAAATGCAGTAAACTTAGCTATTTGTTTATAATTCATGCTATTCCTAATCATAAATTAATTTTAAACATTAGTAGCCAAGGCCATATCGTGGTGACCCTGATTAATTTTCGAAATGTCAACAAATGACTTTTCTGAAACTGCTACGAAAGATACGATGCAATCACCAGAACTTCATAAGGTGAGCGTAAAAGTACCTCCTTTTTGGACTGATAAACCGAAAGTATGGTTTTTTCAAGTTGAAGCTCAGTTCTGGTTTTTTCAAGTTGAAGCTCAGTTCAGAATTAGTAATATCGTTTCAGAAGAAACGAAATTTAATTATTTAGTTTCACAGCTTGAACCTAAGTTCGTCGAAAAATATTTGGGACATTGTAACGAACTGTTATATCATTATTACATAATATAATTTCATACACATATGTCTTATTTACTTCTTAACATCATTACTGTGTAATTTCTATTATCAATGTTCATACCATATTATGTGGTAGGTAACTGTATGTATATGGGTAACATAACAGAACATTTCAACCAATATTGTATCAATCACATAACATAGTAGATGAGTAGTTATCATAGTGTAACATAAAAACAAAATATGCTAACAATTCTAAATTTCAGGATATTTGCGTTGTTAAGTGCTAACCCATTCTATGACTAAGGTCCAGTGTAAAAGAATTATTTACAATAATCACAAGAAGATAAATAAAACAGGTTATTACAACAAGATAAATAATCACAAGAAGATAAATAAAATCAAACTAACATTTATTTTTGGTGAAAAAGATATTAGGTTACAATTCTGATAGAATCATGACACTCACTATTTACGTTACAATTATTACGAGGTGGCTGGATATTGAGCATAGCTGAAGAACACAAAAATATAAAACATACCTTTAAAAAAACAAACAGGGTCAGAGGGGGGGCCCACAAGCTTAAGGGAAGTATGGAATTCACACAAAAATCTTGAAACTTAACATGTAGTAGGACTTAGGCATTTTTTAGAGGCATTTCGGCATATCTGCTGGAAAGAAAAGATAGAAGTTAGCGAAACAAATAAAATCAACCCATGATAACAACAAAGACGAGGTCTGGCTCCGATTTTCCGCTCAAAACAGCAATTCCATCGGGAAGGTTCGATATGTCTAACCACTATAGACCATTTCTGAGAGGATCACGAATCACTTCATTTTCCCTTCTCGGCTTAGCATATGGAGTAGGATGTATTTTTCCTGCAACTCTCGGGGTCTGCCAGGCAGAAGATAGAAGAAGGTCTCATCTTGTCGCTGTAGCTACGTCAAGCCTCAGGAAAAAAAAAAAAAAAAGAAATGACAACGAAAATCCTTTCCTCCTCTCTTCACGAGAACACTGCGCATCCACTTTAATAGCTGGCGCGTTTTTTTGAAAATTTGGCGTAGATGGTGATCAGCAGGAAGCCAATCTTAAAGGAGTCATTATTTTCATTAAACCAAAGAAATTTTAGAAATTGTCTATCACCTTCAGTAATTCCTATCATCAAAAAAGCTTTTTCAACGTCTCCACTAATCGCTATCTTAAACTTACGAAAATTTAACATAATGTTTAGTATATTTGGATTTAGATTAGGTCCCGATTCAAGGCAGTCATTTAATGAATTCGTGTCCTCTGTCCTTGAGCTAGCATCGTACACAATTCTTACCTTAGTAGTTTCACTAGGTCGTATCACTGCTCGGTGCGGCATAAAATATCCCAAATTTGTATCATTATTTGGACATTCCTCCACAATTCCTTCTAATATCTGGTTCTCAATTATATTTTTATATTCCTGAAAAATCTCCGGAGTTTTACTTAGTTTATTGTGAAGGTTTGCGAATCGTTTCTTAGCTACCTCAAAATTATTTCCTAGATTATTCGGACTGTATTTCCAGATTAAATTTGCCTCATATCTTCCGTTTTTAAACTGCAAATTTCTTTCAAACTGGT